AGAGAGAGAGAGAGGGAGAACAAAAACATAAGAGATACGATGCATGTCCAAGGCGCCAATGTGTCCAAGGTGGGCACAAAGATCAAAGCCAGGAAGCAGGTCGGCAAAGCCGACGAAGCCACTCGGAAGAAGCTCGGGGAGGTCATCACCTCCCAAGCTGCCGACTTTGTGAAGGGTACCGAAGACAAGAAAAAGCTGCCCACCAAGGAACCCAAGGACAGCACTGCAACAGATCACTTGACTGACCACATGAATTCTGCGGCCCTGCACAACATCACTTCGCTTCGCAGGTTCTGACGGAGGAAGAAATCAAGAAGAAAGACTTCGACAAGACGATGGCACAGACGCTTGGCTGGCAATCATGTGCGGGCTTTTGCCATCAAGTTGCTTCCAGCCTGCAACAGCTTTCGCAGCTTCAGCACGATTTGTCCGAGGATCTTGGCCTTGGCTGGAAAAGCCCGAACGGCGGCTCAGAACTTGACACGGTCGGGTCTGAAACGCCAAGAGGCCTGGATCCTATTTAAGCTAAATGGTTATACCGTATAGGTTATCCGCATCTGCACACAGTTCCAAACCGCAACCCCGTATATGTAACCCACCCACCCCCGGCCCATCCACCCCCAGAACTTCTATGCATGTGTTCACGCCCGAAATCAAAAACATGCCGTTTTGTCGCATGTTCATCGATCGGTGCTGCAGGCCAACATCAAGCATATGTATGAGGTGCACAAGCAAACGATGGATATTCACACAGAGTGCCTCGCTCCAAACAGATGTAGACACTTAAGCTATATAGCAGATGTCCTTATCATTCACTGTGCCTCCCAGGATCAACGATGTTGTCTTCGCCGGCTACGATGATGAATATATCTACTGGAAAGTGGATGAGAAGCGAGCCGAGATCGAGGCTGGGTCTTAAGTGCAAGCTCGGTTACTTTTGCATTACGTGCAGCCTAGACCCGGCTCTTTCGGATGATCCTGATGCATTGCATCGCAGAGCTTGCCAGCACGGAGGCCGCCACCAAGGCCGTCCTTTCAGCGGAGGATATTGTTGCCGGCCACTATCGCCGCTTCTTAGATGCACTTACACTGTTAATTTGGTGGGCAAGAAAGCTAAAACTCGATCTACGCCGCAATATCAGCTTACAAGCTCAGGCTTGGCTTCGGAAAAGAAGAAAGCGGAAGCCTCATGGGGATCTGCAGAGCCGGGCAAGAAAACACGCCACAAGATGTGAAACTGCAAATTATGCAGTGCTGTAGGGTGTCGTATGCTGGGTCAGGGATGGCTGTCATGCTTCCGATTTAGCTTATAAGCTCGATCTCCGAAGCCTGCATACATGTTCCGCCGTCTGATCACCTGACCTCTAGCAGCGACAGTGCTTTCAGTTTCCAACACGGATGCAAAGCTGCTCCGGGGAAGAGCCTTCAAAAGCAAGATGCGATGGAGTGCATGCACTGATGCATTAAAGTGTCTCTCGAGATGGCATGTATGTGTCCATACATTGGATGTGATGTCAGCTGGCTTGGGACAATGCTGGACAAACCAAACTAAACCCTAAACCCCAAACCCTAAACCCCCCAACCTTTCAAGCTCTATTGTGTAAACCTTATCATAAAACCTCAGCTCCCGACACAAGCCCTGAATCCCAAGACCCTGAACTAACAACCCCTAAATCCTAAACCCTAAACCATACCGACGATTGAACCAAAGCCCCACATCAACGTGAAGGTCCCAGCTTCCATGAAGCAGGACGAGTTGCCGCCATGGAGTCCAACTTCTCCAGGGCAAATCCAGGTCTGAGCATTCAGGAGTATGTGGACAAGACGATTTATGATGCTTTGGAAATGTTCGGGTCTGGGGAGGTGCCACCATGCAGTCGAGTCGTCCGTGCTTTTTATATCGGAACAGCACACTTTGGATTGCATGCAGGCCAATCTCAAGAGACTACAGACTTCTATAGGCCACCGGGTATTGCTGTCTTGCAACATAGTTAGAGCATTTCTCTGGATCGCAAGCACCGCCCCAATGCTTGCAGGCCGGTTGCGGGACCTGCCCCACAGTTTGATTCCGCTGCCCCGTCGCACTGGAGCGATGATTTTTTTGATGTGCTCACGCAGTTTCACGCATCTAAGGCAGCATGCGCTGGAACTCTTGGATGCTCTGGACTCCTGCCAGTCTTATGGGCCTGGTCGTACTCTCACGCGATGGCCGAAGAAGCAGGAGTGGAGAAGCCCGGCAAATCAATCCGCATCTAATCTTAAAGTGCTTAACTCATTGCCAAAATCGAAACAGATCTAGACTATAGTCTTGTGTGAGCCCAGGAGCAGCCTTGCCTCAAGCTTTCCAGCTGGATGTGCCAATGGCGGCTGGGACGCATGCATACAATATCTGATGCACTGATGCACACACCTAGCTTGCATGCAAACACATTAGTATACATGGCAGCGTCTTGTTCTGAGGAATACATTGACTCCCGGGGCAAGCAACGAACGACCATCAAACACGAAATGTACCTCCCCCACGAGCTGGTGGCATCATTCTACAAACGGGAAGATTTGTTCTCGCTTCTGACAGGACCCCCAGGAGCCTCTTAGTCGAAGAAGGAAACATGCTCATGCACTATCTTCGTCCGGGGCTTCAAATGCACATGCAGCTCAGGCTCTTCGATCGTATTGGGAACAGGAGCTGGCGGCCACGAACACGTTTCTGAGGAAGCACCCCACCTTCGACGCAGCTGGGCCGAATTGGGTATGGGGGGTTTGCTGATTTTTGCATGGTCTACGCGCAGGACCCCGATTGTAATCTCGATTTCGTGGTGCCGCTACGATTGTATGGTGACGGCGCAGATGCTTATCGTTTTCTGCTCAGCCAATGCAAACACGAATGACATACCTCATGAGGTCGATATACTGCTGAAGCATGCACCCGGACTGAGGCAAGCAGAAATTCGAGATTCTGACCCTCGTGACCGTCCCAAAGACTGATGCTGAGGTGTCCACCTTGAACACCCGGATCCTGTGTCTCGATCGCAGGTTATAACCTTGGATCGAATGAAAACATTGATGCACACATGAGCCCCGACTTAATGTGTCGGCCGCACTCAGGCTATCATGTATGAATGCCACCTACTGCAACAAGCCTGCACGGGACAAGCTGCTGACCATTATAGCATGGAGCTTTAACTGTCTGAGCCACTCGACTATCTTGCATGTGCTTTAAATTGGCTCATGGCACAACTGCAAACTCCAGGCTCGGGGGTCCACCCTCACTGCGATGCATTCGGGAAGGAGTTTGGGCTGACTTACATGCCCGAGAGGGCAAAAGTGGCAGGCCAACGAATCTGCGGCCGCTATATATGTGTCTTTGACGGGTTTCAAGCCGATTGGGAGTACCACAAACTTGCTATGGGCCTGCATCGTCTCGTATCCGCAACAAGAGCACATGTGTCAATACCCTATAACCTCTATTTCGGGTGTGATCCACCTTAGGTTTCTACAACAAGAAGATGACATGTCATTTCTGCTCGGCAATCCAGTGGATCAATGCTGTAGCCAAGCCGGGTGAACCCAACAATGTGGAGCTCCTTTATTCTTGCTTCGGGCACCGCGCCCTCCACCGAACCACTATGATCTTGACCAAGGAGGACTTCATCGAAGCACACGGGGAATCTCCATTGACACAGATTGTTGGGTTTGGTCCCTCCAGAATCTTGGCTAGCACTGCTACATGTTGATGGTATCTCAAGTACTAAATCATTTAGATATCGGAACCTTCGACCTGGATCCATCAGGACTGTATCCAGACTACATGCATATGGTGCATTTGGCCTTCGCTGTTGACTTTCTGGGAAGCATGTTGCTGGAGGTTAGTGATGATGCTACGATAGTACCGGGGGCATCGCGAGAAAGGCGACTGGATGTGCTGTGGAAAGATTACAGATCGTGGGCTGAAGCCTCTCAAGTTGGCGATCGTGCCAGCAGACGCATGTTTACGACAGCAGTTTTACGCAACAACAAGAATATCGAGGTTTCGCAGAAAATTCTTTCTGCGACGGCTTGCAGATATATGCTGCTATGGGCATGCACTTTCTTGACGACGGTGTGCGAGCAGCTCGCACCGACTCCTATCTTGCAGCAACTTGAACATACCTTATATGCATGCACGCGTGTTGTAATGACTTAATGGCAACATATGCATACATGCAGGGTGATGTGAGACATGAGCCTGCACCCAGGCACTTGATGGCAGTGGCCACGGCTTTTCGAGATATGGAGATGCTGATGATTAACAATGGGCACTCAGGCAGCACTAGTGTTAACTGCATGTTGCCTGTACGCAGCGAGATCCGAAGTTCAGAAGTGCATGCCGCCAAGTCGCTTTTTCAGCAGTACATCGGCAGATGAGTTCGAGGAATGCTACCTGATGCTGCGTTTCGGGTACAACGAGCTTGCACGAAGTGCAATATCTCGTGGGCTACCGAGGTATCACTTTAGACCTAAACTTCACCTGTTGGAGCATGCCGTGCTGGACTGGAAACCAAAAAACCCCAGGTTTTTTAGCAACTACCTGGGTGAGGATGCAATCAGACGCATCAAATGTCTAGCATCGAAAGCTCCGGTGCGCAACATGTCTTCGAATGTACTGCTGCGCTACACTGTGCAGATGGGTCTTCGCTGGAGGCAGTAAAACAATCTGCAGGAGAGATTCCGTCCGCCAGCTGCTAGCCCATGCACCGCCAGCTTGCAGCATACAGGTGGAGTCCATGCCATGGCTACATATATTCCTGCGATTTCTTCGAAATTAGCGTGTTAGAATTAGTCCACACATATATATATATACACACATCTTATGTATATATGGGATATAGCCATACAAATTTTGTTATGCTTATAGCCAGAGATAAACAATTAATATTTTGCAGACACACACACACACACAACATGTGAACCGTATTCGAGGCCTGGCGGCGGTGACATTAACATATGCATGCATGAGCAGATCGAATGTCAGACTGAATCCTCCCGACATTTACAATTCAGAAGATGTACATATATTTTGATAGCTGGCCAGAAAGTTTGGAGAATCGCCCCTATAAAGGCGATGCTCCAAACTTTTGTTTAATATATTACGCACTGATGCTCATGATAGCTCGCGCACTTTGTGCATTTCACACGGCATCCAATTTTTTTTGCCGCATGTTGGTGTGCATTTCAAACATTTCAATGCCAAATCGCACATCCCAATAATCTTTTGATTCCTGTTCATCCGTCACGGAAACTTTTTGAACTTGAAGCCAAAAACGCAAGCGTCCTTATATGGACCAGCGTCCTTATCCCACCAGC